AAAAAGTCAGCAACATGAAAATAAACTCCACCTAAACTTGGTTTATATCTGACCCAGATAGACTGCAGCTCATAACTTCTTACCTGAAGTTCAGTTCACCTGACACTCGGACTGGCGGCTGCTTCGGGTCTCTCCTCCTGCCTCCCCTTCCCTCATCCACCTGTTGCCTCTGTGGAAGCCCCGCCATAGCCACCACCAAACAACGGAGTTATTTCTACACATCGACCTGCATCTGGCCAATCCACCACCTCTCATTGTTCATGCCGTTACAAAAAAAATAAAAAATAAGTCACTGGGGATATGCCCGGTATGCCCGATGGCCAGTCCAGCTATGTTAACCTGCAACCAAATCTGCAGCTCCATACAGCAATGTTACGACTTAGATTATATCTTATAACGCATAACTCTTATGTTAGCTGCCCTCAGTAGCATACTGTCTGAAATATTCCACGGCTGCAATAATTCTTTAAGTGTTATTTTTTTCCTTGGTATTCTAATTTCACCGAAGTTTACTAAACTCAACAAACTTGATATTACTTACCGGGACATTTATTCTGTCCTCATTTTCTTTCACCGAAAAATTGTTTCCTGCAGTGCCGTCTTTCGCGCTTGGCTCTCCTACCTTTGCTTACGTGATGCGCATAGCGCAGAAGCGATGCTGCATTCACTTACACTCGGATATCTGAGCGTCACCGTGAAAACATAATCGGATATTTGATTGAATTTTATTGTTTTGCCTTTGGGGTGGCACCTGGGGTGGCCAGTCTGGTTTGGGGGGTGGCCTGTGCCCCCCCAGGCCACCCCGCTGGACACGCCATTGCTGATTACATCAAACAGTAAAGAGCAAACCAGGTCTTAGACTAAAAGATGTCAGAAGATACAAACCAGAAGGAAGTGGTTTTAAGTTTTAATGCTGAAGGTAGCATTAAAATGTAACGCATTCTGGAGCTGAAAACATTCTTCAGCATATCTGTGTTCATGACATAACTTGGATAACCTAGGATCCAACTTTACTGGTTCCTAGTTATAGACAATTCAATAAGTTGAGATAGATTCTTGGAGATTGGCCAGTCGATCAGAGTAACAAATGATCTTAACGTCCGATCAGGGGGCAAAGACTAAAGCTCTCTTGAAGGTGATATCTCCTTAAAAAATGCAACCTTCTGCCTCAATCTGATGAAATCATGAAAAGATTGTTCGCTTCACAGGCAGTCGAGAAACCAAATCCCACAACTTCAGAGCCCTAGCTTACGCAATACTCCTCGTCCATAATGAACTTTGGGTGTCATCATTTTGACCCTGCTCAGGCTCCTCAAACGCTGGTATGTCCTCCTCTGAGCTTTCACCTTCCAGCTCTCATGTCTGGCCTTCCTCCACCTCCTTTCCTGACAGCACTCAGTATGACTCCACTTGTACAAATCTGAGTAAAATCCTTTCTGCCTCGCTCAGCACTCTGTCATATCATGCATGATCACTGCTGTTGTCATGGGTTACATGACCTAATGATCCAGGTTTAGGTGAGAATTAGGTGTGCAGAGTAGAGTTAACTAAATTAAAAAAAAAAAGTATAAGAAAGTATTTGCTAAAATAATGTTTTAGTGTTCATTAATGTTTCCTTCATGAAATGTTTTAATATTCACAAAATGAAAAACATTGTACCGGAAAATCCACACAAAGAATGGAAACGATATCCTTACTTATTCCCGCAGAAGATAAAACAAAAAAAATAATATAAATAATATTTTTTGTATCCATCGTTTCCTGTTTTTTATCTTCAGAAAGAATTATGGACCTATGTTATTTATTTTAAAAAGTACATATATTGTGATCTATCGATATATCTGACTGATATAAAAAAAACTTTCCATGTCACCCAGCCTTAATTTGAATACATTCACAGTAAAGTCAAGAACACGAATCTCAAAAGAAAAGTGCATAAAGCCAGAAAACAACTCGTAGCACAAAATTATTTCTACTGAGGAATGGTAGTGGAAGAATACAGTTAATGTTTTGCAATAGTCGAGTCAAAGTCCAAACCTTTATGTTGTAGAAATTGTGGAATAGCCCGAAGCAAGCAGTTTGTGTGAGAGAACCCAAAGTTTTGTGTTTGCAATACTGAAATGGACTAAATTCCTCGAAGCCAGTGTGCAGAATTGATCACCTTTTACTGCATATTTATACTTGCATTTATTGCTGCACAAAAGTGTCACATAGGATGCTGAAAACAGAGGTTCAGGTGCCATTCACAGATCTGTAATACTGACTATTTTTTCCTCAAAATGTTAAGGACCAAGTAATATTATTGTGTAATATAATTCATGTTGTTTTGTTTTTCTTCCTTTAGCAAAACTGGATATTTTAGGATATGTTTATACAAAAATATGGAAAATTCCAAAGGGTTCACAACCTATTGTTGCAATTGCAGTATATAGTGTGCAGAGCTGATCGCAGCCTATTCATGTTCATATGTAAAACTTAAACCAGGAAACTTAAACCTGTACCACACAACCAGAGCCAGCTGAAAATTATTAGAAAGGAAATTAAAGCAGGCTGATGAAGACTCTTGAGATATGTAATGAAGATTATGCAGATGATACGGGCACCTTACAATGGCTCAAAATCTGTTCACTGCCACTGCCTTACAGCAGATGAGGGGCAAGACACGGGGAGACAAATACAATTTATCGTGACAGTTCATCATTTCTGTTAATCTGTGTGTCACGGACGGCTGATCAAAGTCTTAGAGTTATAAGGGGATTCATTTGGAAATGTACGGAGACAAAGGCAATGAGATGAATACAAATAGAGCGATACAAAAGGATATTATGAAAAATGCTCGCCTGTCATTTTGTTCCCTGACACTTTCTCTCTTTGTCTTTCTGCCTCTCTCTCTTCATCTCTTCCAGGCTGGGTGGAGCAGGAGACATATTATTAACATTCAGAAAATGTCAGTTTGAGGTCTGTGTGTGTGTGTGTGCATGTGTATGCATAGATGTGTTTGTTTGCGCTCATGAGTGTAAAACTGTGCGTGCGTGTCTGTCAGTTGTAATATTGCATGGATCAGTTCACAAATCTGATTATCAGAAAAATACTGCTGAAAATAGGCTTTTGAGTTTTCTCTTTTTTTCTCTTTATCAGAAAACATTTCCAGCAGAGTGATAGTAATGTAAACCTTTGTGCCTTACACAAGCTGCTACCAAAGTGATGTACTGTGGCCCGTTTGGCTGGAAGGGAGTATCAGATGTTGTTTCTGTTAAATTTGACAAATAAAATGTATTCCAAAGTATGTCTGCCCATCATTTAAACATTACTCACCTATCTGTATTGTTCCCTATTGCAAAGTCATATAAGCAACTTGATTTTGATGTGCCATCCCTCTGAACATTGCTGAAGACCCCAAGGACAGTCATCTCCAAACATGCTGAGCATCTGCAGGTTATGAAGGAACAAGCCAACAAGACCCAAAGTATTTTCTGCCAGGTTATCTCTTTTGTCTGTTGGAATACACAATCTGTACAATATTACACAGATGTTTTTAATGTCCTGGCTGATTTGTGTGTGACAGGAGGTAATTGGGAATATCTAGAAGAGCTTTTGGGCATCACTAACTTTATTATTATTATTATTATTATTTGTATTTATGAGTGTGGAGTGGATGGAGCTCCCATTTTACAATACTTGTTCCATGCATCCATTTTACTTGACAGAAGACATGACTGGTGGGCTAGTTTATTCTTGCAATTGATGAATGGGAGGATATTCCAATAATGATCTTCTTGAAAAAATATTCCTTTATCTTTTTGACTTCTCTTGGGCTCTCTAAGCTAGTTGGTGCAGCCAGACAAAATAGGCATGGAAAAAAAATTATTCAGACAGATTTCACACACTAAGTAGTTGTGTTTCTCCTCTAAAAATTAGACTTAAACCGCAATCATCACCAGACATGAAAAAGGAAATGAATCTGATATTTTCTTTCAGCATCCTGTGCAGATTTGATTTAGGAAAGTTGTTCCCCCAGTGGATAAAAATACTCTGTGTTTCACCCACGGAAGCAAAGGATTGAAAGGAATAAAAAAAATATGTCGGAATTTTTCTGAAAACAAAGACTCAGTGTTTGCATGTTGCTGTCATGTTACAGAAAGAAAAACAACCAAATCCTAACAAGGAAGTGTTATAAAAGAGTAGCTCCTTAGTGTAGTAGGTTATGCATTTGCCTAAAAAGCAAAAGCTCCCAAGTTCAGCCTCAGGAGAAAACATAAATCCCTTTGGGACTGTGTCAGGAAGGGCATCTGGGTTGCTGCAATTATTTTAAACTAAAAACCACAGAGCTATGTACAAATACTTCCATCAGTCCATTTTGTCAAGTGGACTGTGCCTATACTAACTGACATCGGGTGAGATTGAGAGGTAGGACACAGGTTATGGCAGGTGACAGGTTGTGTACAAGGGTACCAAAGAGGCAGACAACAACGCTCACATTCACTTACAGATGCTGATAACTGTCTTTGGACAGTGGGAGGTAGTCGGAGCACCCAGAGGAAATCACTTGTAAATCAAGAAGTAAACTCTAAAAAATGTAACCTAATTTTACAGTTTACTTAGACAGTCACATTTCCTTTTCATTACATTTTTATATTGATTTGATTTCCATTAGCATACTGATTTACCTATGTTTTAATAAAATAAAATAAAGTGTCAGTGAGTATTTTATTTTTGTCTAAATTTCTTGTGTTTAACATGAAGTTCATAAAAGTGAAGGAAACAGACATTTTTTTTAGTTATTTTAGTATTTTAAAGTACAAATTGATTTCAGCCTTAAAATGGTGAATAAATGTGGGATTTCGTTTAAAGTTGGATGCATTTTGCTGCAAAGAGGTTCCAGATAAAAAAAAATTTTCAACAGTAAAACAGACATTTTCTGTAAAATAACCGAATTATTACACGTCACCTTCAACATTACGCCATGCCTTACAGCACTCAGACAGTTCAAACTCCTTTTCAAGCTTGAATCTCTTCAAGGTTTTTCAGAACGCCGCGGAACAACAACATCCGTAACGTCACTTCCGCTCACTGTCCGTCAAACATGGCGCTGCTTCTAAGGTCAGTTTATCTTTAGTGCATTACTTTCGGGCTCTGGGAAGCTTTTACTCCTTGTTCTTTGGGATATTGAGGCGCGTAGAGAAAAAGTATAATAAATTAAATGCACGTTTGAGGTCGACGCGCCTCGGTGTAACTTGTAGTCTCCGTTTATTATCCTTGTTTACCGCAAGTGTGGTGGAAAGCCGCTAGCTTACTGTAGCTATCGTGCTAGCGTCAGATGTTCTTGGTTATCTGAGAGTGGACTTTGACAAGTAGTGTTAATAATGACAGACGTAAGCGGTTATTTGGCGCCTTAACCTTCATATGACCGCTTGACGAATGCTTGATTCGCTGTTGATAATCTGAATTTGTTTGATTTAGGTTTGTGTTAAGTGATAATCGAACTACACCATTACAGTGTCGTAACTCTACCCAGGTCAAATGATTGTCAAATGATTGGCGTTGTCTAAATTACCTTAAATGTGAAACAGATCTTTGTTTAGTAGAAGTGAACCTATTACCCTTTAGAGTTTGTTTAACAGACACTTCTCACTTGTTCCTTCTCGCTAGAGCTGGAGTTAAGACTTGGCTTTACTTATTGCTGGGTTTTCCCAACGAATATGCAAAATTTATGACCATAACTGTTTATAGAACTATAAAAATACAACAACGAACTACAAATCATTCTCTCTTAAGCATTTTTTATTGACAGTATTAACAATTTTACAGTATGAATAATAGCGACGCTCAAACCTTCTTTTGTGTCCTATTTTTTTTGTATGTGTTATTGTTCTTTTTTATGTTAATTTGTTGACTTGTTGCCCCTTGTTCCTATTTAGCTCTGTTTACTTATTGAAAAATCTTCATCATTACAACATATCTTTCTCATGGTGCTGCTGGTTTACTCTGAAGTAAACCAGGATTCAAATCTAAACCTGTTTTTGTTTTTTATGTCTTTAGGACGTTGGGACGTCAGAGTGTCTGTCTCTCCAAACCCCAGTACAGTGTCTTGTACAGACAGTGAGTTCTGTGCTTGTTTGTTAGTGCTTATAAATGCACACATAGATGCTACTGCAAACTTGTTTTCTGTAACCACCCCATTTTCTCTCCTCTTCAGTGTGGCTCCAATGGGATCCACAGCCAAGGAGGAGATGAACAAGTTTTGGGACAAAAATTCGAGATTAAACCGACCCATGTCTCCCCATGTCACCATCTACAAGTATGTACTGCATACCTTCTGGTGTCTACTCAGTGTTGTTCAGATGTGACTCAGTTAAAGTAAAAGTCATTTGCTCCATTTGTTTTATGTTTTCAGAGACACCTCAAATCTGCAGCAACACGTTTTCTGAGCTGCAAATATTGTTACTTTTAAAATCATTTTTTCTGATTGTGCAGGTTTTTCATTCTTTTGAAGCTAATAAAACAGCAGGGCAACCCACAAATACCTGAGATTTAGTGCAATAAGCACCTTATAATGTACTGTCACCAAGTTATTGCAATCCTAACGCCTGCAGCAAAGAACCCCTTTTTTGTTCAGTATATGTCGGTATATGTAATTTCTCACTAGGCTACCCTCCTGGTTCAGCTGCCTTTTTTTTAACTTTAATATTTTTCTGTCATTTGGGATCATTGTGATGACTCAGGGCACCTTTTTTTTTTTTTAACACTGTCAACAATCTTCAGCTTCTCCAATCTGTAATCCAGTGATTTAAGTCATACTCTTTCACTGGGTTTAGCCTGTTCTGTACTAGAGCATTAGCTTATTCATATTTATGCATGCAAACTTTGCATGTGCATCCATCACTGGCACAAAATCAAAGTTCCATGATTAAAATGTAGAATTGCAGTGTTGTTACTTGTAAATCAAAGCCTCATTCATCATAAAACTGTTTTAAAGATTTAAAATAATCATTAGTTGAGGCCTGTATGTGTGAAAGCTAAATGTGCTCTGGTTTTTGGGGGGGGGTTTTGCATCTCAGGTGGTCTGTCCCCATGATGATGTCCATCACGCACAGAGGAACTGGAATTGGGCTCAGTGGAGGTAACACATCTGTTTTTTCCATCCAAAATTAAAGTTAAAGCAAGTAAATGATTTAGTTTTGCCCTTGAAGCTATACAGCCACTGTCAGCTTTTAAGTGACCTTGGAAATGTCTTCAGGGCATTGTAGTCTGTCACTATTGATTTTTACTAAGAGCATTTACTGGAATTACAAAACACAAGTTGTTCAATACAATTAAACCTAACATGTGAAAATTAACACTAGATGGCTAACAGCTTTCAGTCATTCGCCTGGAGTAAAAACACGTGTCATTGTGGTATTGTATATCAGTGCTGCTGACCTTCATGGAACATGCTGTAAAAGCTGAATCAGCTTTGTTTATGTGTTAATTGGCTCGATAAGGGCCAAACTCAACAGCCAGGCTGGCTACCTCTCGGACATTAAGTGCCACTTACTGTCTCTCAGCTTTCTATTAGAATCACATGAGTAATCACATGCCTGAAATCAACTTCGATTCACAGTGAGGGAAGTAAATCTATCACCAACTGACAGGAAGCCATATCAGTTCATCTAAACATAACAGTCAGTATTTAACATTTAGTTTTCAATGCAACTTTCTGTATGTATATAAATATTTTAAAGAATGTCTTTTCTCACACGGAGTTGTTTAGTTTATATTCTTTATCATCCAGGCAATACAGAAATAGAAGCTTTAAATAAGCCATTGTGTTCAGTGCATTGTAGCAGGCAGCCCAAGAAGCACTTGTTTGATCCAGATCCATTATTTGGCTGTCACTCCAGCAAGAGCAAAAAACAACAAAAAAGTATTTACATAACTGAGGCTTTCACATGTTGCAAAATTACTGGTGAGCTGGATCATGTGGTAAAGTGGCTTATGGAGAGAAAATGTTAGAAGCATGTGGAGCTTCTTTTTGCATGTCTTAATTTCTTACTGATTATGAAAGGTGTGGTGGTCTCAGGATTTCTGTCTGTGTTTAGCTATCTCAGCATTTGCGGTGGCAGCGCTGGTTTTGCCAGGGAGCTACCCCTACTACCTGGATTTAATCCACTCACTGTCCATTGGTCCATTTCTCACTGGGCTGGCCAAATTCGGGATTGCCTTCCCAGTATCTTACCACACCTATAACGGCATCCGCCACTTGGTAAGATTTAATGATTTAATAATTTTAAAATTGCCTAATGATTTAACCGAGGAACTGCTTACCTTTTTCTTCCTCACACTAGAGTCTGTTTGAAATTCTTTGGTAGTTTTTCCATTTGCATGTTTTATGAGGTGTCTGGACTGCTTAGCTTAAGCTTTTAAGAGGATACAGATTTTTGTTTTGCTTTTGTCATGTTTACTAATTTTACTAATTACATTTGCCAACATTTATAAAATGAGGTTGTTTTTGTGTGCTTAATGTTCTTTTTATGATCTTCTTCTGTTTATTATTATCTAATCAGGGCTGGGATATGGGCAAAGGCTTCAAAATTCCAGAGGTCTACCGCACCGGCTACACAGTCATTGGTCTGTCCGTCATCACGTCAATAGCTCTGCTCATGATCTGAGCTCAGGACCAGACGTGATGAACAGAGCGAGTTAAAGTGAACGTGAACTGGATTTCACTGTGGGAGTTTTGTTTTGTGTATATGTACCGTGGCCTAATGCAGACTTATGTCATCAAAGTGTTCAATAAAGGATTATGTTATTCTAAATTTAGAAATTATGTTTTGATGTTTCTTCCTTTGAATTAATTACACTTGGAGAGTCTTTGGGGTCAGCAAATGCAGCAGCAGAGTGCAAGGTGCATGCAAATGTGACCCAGTTTATTTCACACTTGTTCTCAGCGTGAACAACAACCAGCGGCCAAAATTAGACATGTCCTACATGCCTTATGTAATTTGCCTAATTGTGCTGTGACGTCAAAATCATTAATCACTTTTCTTTGCCCTGAGTGCTCAGTCACTGCCAGTTCAACCAGTGTGTCTGCTGATGTTGTTTGTGCACAGAAAGGTGTGTTTGTGTGTTGTTGTTTTTTTAAACTGTAGGCTGTCATTTATATTTTAACTTATCCAGGCTGCAGATGCTCAGATACATTTTTAACGGCAGGGAAGGGAGAGGCTGAAATGTAGAGGCAGCTCAGTGGGGGAAGCTGTGCATGTGAACAGGCTCCTCACCGGCAGCCTGCCTCGGGCCTTACCTCCAACTGAGCCGCACAGGAGTTACACACTGCATCTCACCTGCTTTTGTCCTGCAGTGTGAATAAAGGCAAGCTGTGATGTAAAGTCAGATCCAACTCCCGCTTGTGCTGCGTACAGTAACAAGTGCATACTGATCAACAAAAAACAGGTTCTGAGGTTAGCTGTAACAAAATTGGCTCATTAATTTGTAACCGATGCCTGGAGGGGAAATGCCTGTTAGGCAGAATGTCTTTTTGGTTTATTGATGAATATATATATATATATATATATATATATATATAATTTTTTTTTTTTCCTCGGGTGTTGTGTCATGCGTTTTGTCAGTCTGTTTCTAAAGGACACATCAAACTGTTTTTTCCAGTATTTGTAAAAGTCAAGAGTTAATTCAGTGCTTTTGATGGTGTTGTAATGTCCACAGAGTCATATCAGCTCTGTTGCTGGACAGGCATTGCTATACCTAACCACTGCCAGCTCAATGTTACATCAACTCTTGCAAAATGCCTCTCTGTACACGAGTTTTTTGTCTGATTGCTGTTAATTTGGCATACGCAGGATTCCCCACACAAAGTCCTATCCACACAACAGGCACATTTCCACCTGAGCTGCACATCCATTGGTCTGCAATTTTCTATTGTGATGGATGGGAAAATTGCTCATGCTCTGCAGGATCCAAGACTGAATTTGTTTATAGACTGTTTGCACTAAACCCTGCGGAATTTCTTCTAATTTTTGGGAGTAAAAAAAAGAAATGGGGGGGGTAATAGAAGTATTGGCTGTTTCATTCCCCTACAAACAACAAGCACTCTGGCTCATAGTTGTTGATGCATTTCCAATGCACAATGTTCCATCTTTTAGTTTTGCTCTGATAACATCACCATAATGATATTTTGACGAGATAACTTGCACGAAACAAATGGGGGATGAAAAGCGGGAGTTCCCACTGTTTCTATGAGACATTAAGTCACTGATGATTATGCGGCGGCAGCACCCCCTACCGTTTGGCAAATTATTACACCACAGAGCTGCGGTCCTGATGCTGAGGGGTGGTGAGGATGCTGCGCAGGGCTGGGAGGGGGAGTATAAACCCGGTTTTGATAGAAAAAACGGTGCCTCAGTCTCTGTGGCGCAATGGAATAGCGCGCTGGACTTCTAATCCAGAGGCTCCGGGTTCGAGTCCCGGCAGAGATGTGGATGTAAGGATCCGGCTGTAATTTTTTTCCTTTAATGAGAAGGGTTCGGAATAAAGCTTACTTTTTTTTTAAATGTTCTTTGCAGATAAGATGTGCATAACAGAGCTGCTCTGTACTGTCGACGACAAGGGTGGATTGGTGGAAAGAAGATGATTCATAGTCGTGTTTATTTTGCAGAAGCTCAAAAACAGTGCATCTGGCCTGGTAATTTCACAGGAGCCAAGTCACCGCGCAAAGGTCATCTCATCTATGCAGATTTGAAATAGGGAAAAGGCGTGAAACCATAGCAGAACTTCACGGGGCTTCCTTCCCAGCTTTACTGTCCAGGCTGCGCGCTAAGTTATCACGCGAGCACATTACTGCACAGTCTCACCAGCGGACACGCGCGCACGCTCACGGTTTCGGCACCTGGGGCTGTTCGCTCATTTAAACCAGAGCAAAAAGCTTTCCTGAAGCAGCGGCAGCAGCTAAACGTTTAAAGCCTTTTGCCGTCCTCGTAACAAGTGTTTAATGATGCCAGATGCCGCGTTTCCATCCTCCCATTCGGTTCAGAGACAGAGGGAGAGATAAAGGCTCCGGTTTACTTTGAACATAAATGACTCATAGTGCTAGAATTTTTTTTTTGTATGCAGATTCTGTATTGAATTAAAGACCATAACTACATTGTACAGTGCGAGTGGAGAAGAAGAGTTGGTGGAAGTCATTGTGTATTTTTAAATTAAGGGAAATCAGGGTGGGGACCTTGAATCCTTTCAAGGATCCCCGAAGGTGGACTATTTCCATCTTTAAAACCCCCCAAATCTGGGAGCCCAGAGCTGATATTGTTATTTGCTTTCAGTGTGGGAAAGCAGCTGCTTGCTTGAAGATCTCTCAAACGCCACGACTCCCCTACCACTCCCCACTCCCCCCGCGCTCCCCATGGTTTTTATAATTTTTTATTTATTTATTAATTTTTTCATTCAACCCCACCTCCTCGGTTTCAGTTTGTTGCCACCACCACTGATTGGGCTGTCGTGACATCCATGTTTAACCCCATCATGCCTCCCCACACACAGACCTAATCCGCCCGCAAACTAATCCTTAATCCTCTCTGGCAAGTTGAACAACCCCTCCCCCTCCTCCCTCTCTCCCTTCCACCCTTGGATCCTGATTCCCAAACGGGACTGACGTCAAAAACGTCAAAACTACAAGGACTCTCCCCTTTAACGTTGCAAGCATATGCAAAACTCCCAAGGGTGTAGCCATTATGATGTAGAAACATTAATGGACTACTGCACAAACTGTGAAACGACAACGTCTCAGCAAAGTAGGACTTACAGTATTCTGGGAAAATAGGGAGGAAACGGAAGTCCCACAACTCCACAAGGCCAAGGACTCGGTTAAATCATTAGGCAACCATGGAAATTATCTAACCGATGGGAAATAGTAGTGGGCCTATCTGCAAGATATAAGTAATAGCTCCAAAGCATCAATGATAAGAAACATTATACTCCACTGAGAACCGTGACAATCAGCTTCAGATGACCCGATATGAGATATGTAGGTCTGAATTCAGGAGAAGAATTTTGTACCTACTCTGTAGGCTATGGAAACTTTAGATAAAGCGAGCTTATGTACAACAGGGGATAATGAAATTCCATAAAGGCAGATAAGGTCAGATGACTCACTGTGGGATATTATAGCAACATTACGATGATTTTTCGCTATGGTAAGATCTTACTATCCGCTCCATCTCCTTCATGCTGCTCTCAGTCAGTAGGCCCCTGCTCTGGCCCTGTTATCCCGGTGGTACGGGCCAAATCGTATTAAAATCCCCTCCCTCCCTCCATCCCTCCCTCCCGTGTCCCCTCCCCTCCCGCTCGTCTTTCAGACAGTCTGTTTTTGCTGCAGTGAACGGTAGCCGTGGAGAGCGAGCTAGAGAGAGATAGAGATACAAAGACAGAGTGAGAGAGTGAGCGGAGGGGGAAAAAGCAAGAAAAACAAGGAGTCGGGAGAAGGAACAAGGAGAGAGAAAAAAGTCGATAAAAGCAGATTGAAAGAAGGCTCTGAACAAGCGACTGCTGCGCATCAAAGGAGGGACCTTACTGGGGACCTTATTGGAGACCAGCATCAACAAAACCCGACTCCGGAGGCGGACTATACCGGTGTGTGAGCGTGTGGTTATTGCCGTGCAATGTTTCACAGTTTGTATTAATGTACAGGGTTAGGATGTAGCCTGTAGGGCGGACAGGAGACACCTGTCAGTGGTGACGCTTTTCCGTCTCCAGGAATGTGTCCGTGTGCGCACTGCGAGTCTCCCTTCTCTCTCTCTCTCTCTCTCTCTGTAATCCGTTATGCCTGCCCAGGGAGAGAAGTGTATAATCCCTGAGTGTTTCATAATTTACTCTAAATGTACGTTTTGTTGTCGGGCTGTCTGCGCTGTTCCCGACTCCTCTCCTCTCCTCCTTTTTTTTCTTTCCGCGCTCTTTTGCAGAAAAAAAGATCGTAACTCGCGGGGTGTGCAGCAGCCACCTCTCTCCAGCCTTTTCAAGAGTCTCCCAAATTCTCAAGAGCACCAGATTTTTCTGCAAGCGCGGGAGAAGGACTGGTTTTCCGACCTGAGAACCAGTCCTCTGGTGCTCTCGCGGTCCGTTGCAGCAATGCAGGTAGCCATGCGCGAGCTGTTGTTGTTTTCATTATTGTTGTTATTATTTTTATTGTCGTCATCTTTATTGGTTTCACTCTCCACGTTAAGCGTAAGCAAAGAACTTCTGTTCTTCGCGCTCAGTTTCCGCGTTATTTCCCATGGATACACTTGGTCCAGTTTTGTTTTCGCTTCTCGCCATCACTCAACAGAAAGGGCTGGAGCAACAATAAACATAGACACCCCCCACCCCGTCTCTAGTCCCCAACATCCCTTTCCCATGACATGCCCCCCCTCCTCCACGTCCCCCCTCCGCTCCATTACTCCATCCCACCCCTTGTCCCCGCCCTAACCGCCCGCTCGTGCGTCCGTCCCGCAGCCAACGTTACAGCCCCGGTTCCCTCTCGGCGATGACAATGAGGGAGCCGTCCACAGATGGACCGAGGGCTCACCTCTGCGCAAGCTACTGCTATTTTAAGGAATCTGCGTGAGAGAAAGAGGAAGAGAAGGAGTGCGAGAGAGAGAGAGAGTGAGAGCGAGTGCCAGAGAAGCTATTAAGCACGACGGTCCGTCTCCGGTCTAGTGCAAAGCGCACCGTGTATTCTCAGCGGGCGGCAGGTGTATCTCTCCGCTGCTGCTGTGTCTTTCATTGTCTTTCCTCTTCTCCTTTTTTCTTTCACTGCCAATTGTGGGAATGTTGCTTAGCGTTATTTTTAATTAGAGTGAGTTAGTTGGAGCTCGAAAATGGCCCCAGAAACATTCGTTTTCCTTCTTTCCACATGCGCACAGCTTGTTAAAGTGGAATAAATTGACAGTAATATGAACACCACCCCCCACCACCCCCATTCGTCTCGTCTCCCCTCATTAACACTTAAACATCGCCACCATCTCCGTCTACTCCTCTGTTTGGCTCTATCACCGCCCACTCTCTCCTTACTCCCACCTCCCTCAATCAGTCGTCGGTATAGTATGACACAACCAGATCGATGAATACCCATGGAGCAACGCGTGAGTAACGGGTGGGCCAAGCGTTTATTCAGCTGCAGCCAACCAGTGGCAGGGGATGCAATTAGTGGCCAGTTGGCCTTGCCTGCTTGTTTTCTTTATCTCACCATTGCTTTCCCTGCAGGTGACACTCCAGAGCTCCTCTGCCCTCCTGAGGATTCAGTGAGACAGGCGGATCTGTGTGCCCGAACATGGCCTTCCCATCAGCCCCCTTTGCATTATGGAGTGTCAGCTTATTGACAGTACTCTTCACAGCTGCGGTTCACAGCAATACTAGCTTTGGTAAGCACATCTCTCTCCCTCTGTATCTGTCTGCCTCTTACTGTCTCTCCCTGGGCCCCTGACCTCCCTGACCCTCTCTCTCTGTCTCTTGTGGTGGCCCTTATCTGTTTACTTGAGGCTTTTTCGTTGTTTCCTGTATTATGACAAGGGAATCAGAGCAGCGTTAATAAGCACATGGGACACTCCCACCTCCCCAGACCCCAGTGGGATTTCTGCTGTTGTTTTTTAGGAATGTGTGTGACTCGCACGTGGGTGTAGGGCTCAGCAGTGCATTGCAGGTCCTTTGCCAGAGTAGCACACTGCCCAGTAACTTCCTCTTCTTTTTCTCTCTCAGTGACATCTTAAATGACTTGCATAAGGTCGCTTAAGATGCAAAAACACAGGCAAACACTCATCATTAGCAGTCTTGGATGTTTACCTGCTTAGCATCTCTCTGTCTTTCTCATGAGTATACACTTGGAGATAAAGAGCGATTGTCTTGTGCTTTCTCAGGTAGGGGCAAAGCAGCGTGCAAACTCTTATACAGACATATGACAGTCCTTATGGCTGAAGCTCAAACTGCGATGAGCTGGGTGCGGCTCAAAGCGGATGGTAAGAGAGGATTTGATGAGAGAAGCACTTTGTAATGATATCATCCTTGCTGTGAGTGGCGAGAATATACAGACCGATGTGCTTTCCAATTACATAACACTCAAGTGACTGACTGCTGGTAATACAACCTTTAGAGGACGAGTTTTGCCAGTGGTAAAATGGTGCGTCACCACTGGCCCTCAATCCACAGAAAATTGATTGACATAGGTAGAATCCTGTCGGCATGTTTCTCATTACACTTGGTATTTTTTTGCACAGAGTTTGACAAAGAACTGTAAGACAATATAGCAGGTAATAAGGCTCCTAATAGATGTTCCCTGATTTGCATTTCCAATATATATTCTCAGAGGCCCCTTGTATTCACTTATGCACACCCACACTATTTCACAAATCTGAATGCACCTGTGAATACACACTGCATGCATATGCATGGAGAAATACACAGTATACGCCCATAGATATGCACGCACACAGACTACATTTACTGTACTTTGAATTTGTTTATCCACATCAGCTGTTTTTATTTTCTGTTGAAATAGGTATACTTGAGTTTCCGTGCATTTATGAATTCAATTTGGGGGAGCGAAGGATTGTCGGTGTGAGCTCACATTGGTCAGTGCGGTAGAAAGTGAGAAACAATATGGGTATGTCTAGAAGTTGGGATCAGGCCGCTGTAATACAAATGCAAATGGAAGCATGTCAAAACCTTTAGAGTTGCTGAAGATGAGAAATGCACAAACAATCACCTCAGACTGAGGCACTGATGATGAAACATCAATCTCCTGTCAGGATGCTGACCCCAACTGTGTAGTTCGTCATTGAAACCCAGGCGCTGGTTCGTTATTTGGGTCCGAAAATGATTTTGGCTCGCATTCACACGCATGTCACATTTGATTAAGGTGTGCCTGGAGGGAGGCCTGACCATGCGTGACCAATTCTTGCTTTGGTCTCACCTAAGTGCTGTTTTACATTATCATGTCAGTCAAGGAGAGTAATTAAGCCTGGGACGTCTGACAGCATTTAGGAGATGAGAAAACACGTCAAAGAGCACAGCTGAGAGATGGGAAGCAACCGTGGAGTGCTGAGTTAACAATTTTGGCATCCATGTCTTTTTGTCAGTAATATGTGTCATCAAATAATGATCAAGTACTTGTATTAATTCCACAGAAACCAAATTAATAATATCACTGCAGTGAAATCAGTCAGAATCACTTGTCAAAAATGTTTGAAAATATATTTTTTGCACCATATAGAAATGCATTAATCAGAAGAAGACCGGATACTTTTTTATCAGTAGTATTGAAATTTGTCTTAGTGGCCTTGATGCAAGAAATAATGAAAAGTTGTAGATTTTCCCACTGGCAAACAAGGAACCCAGCTTTTATTCAACACATACAACACCAAGGAACAATGCCAAAAAATTCAAGATACAGAAAAATAGATATATTCATGAATAAATCTTGTGTTTGCTGCTTTGTTCTTGACATTTGAGTAATGTGGTAAGCAATGGTGTTGCAGTTATAGAGGGAAATGTAGTGCATAAGCCGCAAAGCACCAGCCCATCACTCACATCCGCTCCGATCTGTCTGAATGTTGTGACACAGCAGCAGAGCTGTTAGTAGAAGGTGGAGTAGGGTGGGTCATGCCGTCATAATGGAGATCTCCATGCTAAGTGGCCTTGCAAGAGAAGGGTCTACTTAGCTTAAATAATTCAGTGTTATGTATCAGAGAGGAAAACGATTAGCTCAGCAAGTCAACGTTAAAGCAGATGAGCCATCAGAGTAGGACCGTCTATTATTGTTATACTCAGAGTCCACAGTGGATTAAAAATATGTTGACTGTTTGTCTCTTATCATCGGTCAGAGAGGTACAATTAAGAAAAAAGAAATACTTTCCCAGGACATATGGGGTTGATCATGTATTATGATAGCGTTCATGATAGTTTAAACTCTTGATCAATCCTGGACTTCCATTTGATGTATGTCAAAGTCATGGAAAGGACAGCACTAACTCTGCTCTGGATTTATCTGTGGCCAGGCATCCTTGGAGCATGTGAACGAATCAGGGAGACACTAATTGCACGCCATTTGACATATCCATTTCCACAGCTGGATGTGCAGCCATGCGCTGTAGATGGAAAGTGCCTCTCAGAAGGGCACAGATTAGGCATGCAATTGGCCGGCTGTGCCCTGGTTCTGTACCGCTGACCCAGTTGCCACAGGACTGCTGTGTAGTGTGAGGGTCCGTCTGCTGAAGCACTCAGTTGACAGCACGTAGAACAGTGTGCTGCGACCTCCAATCAACCACCTGGCCCTCAACGCTATGGCAGCCTGATGGCAGTCTGATCTCAGACTCCAGTAGAGTGTTTGCATTCATGGCAGGAAACATGCCTAATAGTTTATTTACTTCAGCGAGTTCTGCTAGTCAGAAACACTGAATGAATCCCGATGCTTCCAGCTGAGGCTAGTAATGGATAAGGATTAAAGGACGGGAGCAGTGTGGACCAGTTGTTAGTGTGGTAAGATTTATAGGCGGGAGGGCTCTGCGTGTGTGTGTCTCTGCCAGTGGTTCACTTTATACTGCTACAGAATGGGTTCCTTTCCCCCAGGAGCAGCTCTTTCTCATTGGCTAAAAGCCCACTTCCTGTGTGTGTTGCTGTTGTTTGGTGTTGACTTCCTGTGTGCCAAGATGGGGGAACATTTGGCTAATACACAGTACGGCTAGCACACAATAGCAGTAGGCGGTTTGGATGGGAGGCCTCTGCCTGTTAACAAGGCTGACTGATAAGCAGTGACTCATTAACAAGCCGAGGTACACAGAGCCTGGGGGAATTACCGCCTAGCCACTGTGACATTAATAAGAGGCCTAAGCTATTTTTCCATTTGGCTCCACTGGCATGGGGCTAAACCAGTGGTTTCCAATCTCAGTGCTGGCTATTTATTTCCTCCAGTGCTCTTCTATTACTTTCAGCCACTGGTTACCTGGTCTGATTGGAGTGTGGGCTGATCAGTATTGTCAATGTGGGCTGTAGCTAATGACATCTGCCGCTTCAATAGAAAAACCAGACAGCCCTCATTAGTTTTCTGCAGATTCATTCAGAAACATCTGGGGAGGAGCCCAATTAATTATTCTTATACTAATCATGCCAGTTAGTTAACAATATGTTTGTCTTTTAAGAGAAAAACGACAATGACATAATCTAGCACATATCCTAGATTTGAATCTGTGAAACTGAAGGAGATTGTGACACTACATGGATCCAATTAAGCATCTAAAATACACATGCTAAAACATGTAGTAAAGCTCCAGGAGACTGTCTGCTATCGGAATTTTAAATCTAAAGCCATATTACTTCTATTGTCTTGTGTGTTTATTCTTCTCTGATCCTTTAAGTGTTTTCTTGTCCAGATCAGTTTTCTGATTATAAATTGGATTCTGATTGGCTGGCATTAGTTTGAAACAGATTCACATCTGGCAGAAAACCAATTATTTCTCCTGTTCATCATGCCGATTAATTAGTGTGCTGTGGCTGATTGATTAAACTTCCAACAAAGCTCTAACCATGAGCACTAGAGCCCCCGGGAATGATTTGCATCACACATTGTACACATTGCTGTTTCTTCATGTTATACTCATACATCTCTCGACATGCTGAAACATTACACATGCGTAAGCGGCAGGAAGAGAAGGTCACAGTTCAACAAGGCAAAAGTGTTGATAAGTCATTTGTAGCTAAATTAAGCAGAATTAAAATGCAGTGGCGCGCCAGTATCTTCGGATGTTAGAAGTATCAACTGCACCCAAACAAGACTCTATTAGACCTCATCAATCTGAAGCAGATCTCATCCACCCAGGCTCTCTCAGGCAAAGTGAGATTACATCAGAACAGATCAGTCTTGCATGCTGCCATCATAATAACAGCAAATGCCATTAAGAAACCAAAAGAAAGAAGTGCTCTTGAGATTTTGATGAGCGGCAACGCATTCGTTGCCCTCTCTGGTGCTTCGCAGAAGACACATCACCTTGCAGCAACTCAGGGTTGTGAAAAATAGGGGTCCCGCATTTACAGAGCAGCCAGCTTCAAAACCATCACCTCACAAACACACTACAGATTAAACAAACCTAACAACAACAACAACAGCGTCAGCCTTGAAATAAATTAATTTACCATGTTTCCACCAACAAGAGCCCGTATTGTGTTCAGCACTCATCTGGCTTTTCCTTTGATCAAGGCCCTCGCGCTCATTCCCCCATTCCTACCTGCCTGCTTTTCTCATGTTATCTGCTGAAATTCTCTGGCGGGTATTTTAATTGATTGCTGCAGGGGTGGAAATCACCAATGGTGTCATTAGCGCATGGGTGGTCAGACCAAGGGCTTCCTGGAAAGGTGTATCTGTTTGTTGAAGCAC